AATCCACCTTATAATCATGTGCTTGATCGGGTTTCCGATGCATCCTGGGGTGGTCCTTTCCATGTGGTTTCATATGACCGTCCTCTTCCGTGCTTGTTCTGCAGTTACTATTTCCAGGGGGGTCCGCACGAGGGGGTCATCATGCCCAGCTTTCCAACATATTCCCGGAATAGCCCTCACGGCATGCCTCTTGCTTGTGCGATTGATTCCCAGTGTTCCGAGCGACCGGCCCACAAACTAATTCTCTTCACGTTTTCGGAGCATACTTCGTCGTCAAAGTCTCGACAAGAAGATACCCATAGCCTTCTGGTTCAAAGTCGTAGCTTGCTGATCTCAAGCAATCTGGCTTCACTTGTCGGAGTGCCTGCACTGGTGCCTGCGATGTCGGACACTGCTCTTCGAGTTGTCTCAGTTCTTCCGTCTGCCACTGAGATGCTTTGCTTCATCGGTGGGCGTCATCTATTGGTCGGTCGAAGTCATGAGGACAATTTCCCAGCTGCTGTAACAGACTTACCTGTCGTCACAGGCCAGCTAACAAGCTTCACTACAGCAGGCGAAGTAGACCGACAAGTTGCGGAAGCACTCTCAAGTGCTCAGCCGTTGTACTCACTAGACGAGTCACAGTTTGTCAAGCTCCAACCTGACCTCATCCTTACACAAGACATCTGCTCTGTGTGTGCGATCGACCTTCCCACAGTGGAGCGGCTGGCAACCAAGCTGAGCCCACCTCCCAGGATCTGCTCTTTAAATCCATTGAATATTGATGGGGTCCTGCACAACATCACGCAGTTGGGCAAGGCTGTTGGTCTGGAGACAGAAGCTCATGTTGCTCTAGAAGGGCTGAACGCACGCCTACAAGCAGTGGATGCGCTTGTCGCAGCGCATACTCAACAAGGGCATACGCCTCAGCATGTTGCATTCATTGAGTGGTCAGATCCACTTTATGTCGGGGGCCATTGGACACCACAGCTTATTGAGCGCGCTGGAGGTTGCCATCCGCTTAATCCTGGCAATGGTGCGGCTGGTGGTGGAAAGTCTTTCGCGGTGTCCTCTAGCAAACTCTGTGAGAGCGACCCAGACTTGATTATAGTGTGTTGCTGTGGTCTTGACCTTGAAGCTGTGAAGCGTGAAGCGTCAATCTTCCAGCAGAAAGAATGGTGGCCTGGCTTGCGCGCTGTACGAGATGGACGCGTTGCATTAGTCGACGGCGATGCTATGTTTAACCGCCCAGGGCCGAGATTGGTTGATGCGCTCGAGTGGCTGTGTTCAGTGCTTTGCGAGCAACCTGACATCGCGCCACCAGAATTCCCAGTGGTATGGCTGAAGCCCGGTGAGGTGGTGTCTTCTTTGAAGCGCACGCGCGAGATAGACATCGAGGAAATGCACACCCTTGCGGTGACGCAGGGCATGAAGCATTACACGGACCCTGCGACAGGTTATACAGTATTCACACAGCTGTTCATGCTCGAGCGAGGTTGGTGCTGTGGCAGTGGCTGCCGACATTGCCCATATGGTCATCAAAACCTTCCAAATGAGCGCAAGGGTGACGTACATCCACCCATTGTTGTTCCAGGATGGGGTTGCCCGCGGAAGTCGCCTCCCAAGCCAAATTAGCCAAGCCATGCGTGTGGCCAGTTTACTGGTGTTGCTGTGTTGCGCGCACATGGTTGTCGCGTGACAGTACCAGTTTTCATGATTCAGGGTAGTCGTGCGGGCTCGTCGGAACCGCTTTACTTGCACACATTGCCATGTTGGATTGCCCTCTCACGTCATGGCGCACGCAGTCGAAGTAGCCGAGTTGGGAGGAAGCCACTCCCGGTAGAGTTATGGCAGGCTCCGCTTGTCGTCTGGCACTCTTGTGTGGGTGTTTACCGTAAGGCAGACATAGTTTAATACCACCCAGTTCTGCCTTAGTATTCCCTTTCATTGCCGCACATGCTGCGGCATAGGGCTGCTGCGTGTATCCAAGAATCCGGGCGCCCGCGCCACCGCAATTGTGGTCGTCCCACGTTACAGGGTCAACCAGCCTGGAAATTCAGAACTTGCCAGCTGAGGATTATATGCACTTGCAGTTGGTTTGCATCTTCAGGCTGATCCGACCTGTGGTATGTAGGTTGCGTTGCCTCAAGGACCGATGAGCAACACAATACGTGTTCGGTGATAAACAGTACGTAGACACGGGTCATCATGAAGAGTTGTCTCCGTGGAGAACGTCGGCCTCACCGTGAGCGTCGCCGAGCATGCCAATTCGGGGCCATAATTAATCACATACGACAAGTATGTTTTTGAGATCGTTGGCGGGACAGAATTGGGACGACGGCCCTCCACACCGCGAAACTTGTGTCGGATTCGGTTTGTCTTGCGGGGCGGGCGAGGGGGAGGTGGGCGAGTGATTCGTCTCCATACTTAGGGCGTGTCGCGTCAGAATGCTTCGCCGTGCACGTTGCGTGCGTCCTGGGGTTGTCCCGTGGGTGTCCCTTGTTTGATCCCGTGCGAATCTATTGTGGGTTTGTCTTGTGGTTGCCCCGTTCGGTTGTCTCGTTCGGTCGTTCCGTGGTTTCCTCGTGGTTGTCTCCCAGTTGTGCGGTCGGTTCGTGTATAGGCAGATGAATAGGTAGATGGTTAGATATTTGGCTAGTTGGATAGACCGCCTGGCAGCTGATGGGAGGGCGAGATCGTAGTTTGGTCGCCAGTTGAGCATCGAGTCACATATGTAGTGCAATAACTACATATCCATATTTTGAAATAGCTAAGCGGTTGTGTCAACATGAGTAGTTCGGTTGCACGTTTGGTTTCCAAGCGCATCGCTGGTCAGTTGGTTCATGTTGCATACAACGATTTGGTGTTGGACGATGTCACACGCAAGTGCACAATATGCATATATCCTCTTACGCATGTGTTGCTAGAAGGCTTGGTCGCACATCATGTAAAGGTTGCAGGTCCTATGCCTACTCAGTTGGTTGCGGCAAGTTCCGCCATCGTGCCAGCCCAGCATTCTCGTTGGCATTTTTTGGAATGGACGATGATGATGACACCAGGGTTCGGGATGAGGATGTTTATGACGACGGCGATGAGGATGATGACGATGAGCGGTTGAGGAAGAGGTTGAGAAGAGGAGGAGAAGGAGGAGGAGGAAACAGAGGAGTGCGGTGGACGTGGGAAATCGATACCATGATAATGATGAGGATGATGATGTCAATGCCGATGATGATGGGGATGGAGAGTGTGATGGTGATGTTGATGACGATGCTGATGATGTTGATGATGATGCTGATGACGATGCTGATGATGAACACCATGATGATGATTATGATGCTGCTGATGATGATCATGATGAGTATGATGATTATGATGTTGATGGCGATGGCGATGATACTGACAATGGCGATGATGATGGTGATGATGATGACGACGATGATGCTGCTGATGCTGCTGCTGCTGCTGATGATGATGATGATGATGATGATGATGATGATGATGGCGATGATGACGACGTGGTGATAATGGTGATGCTGATTTTGGTGCTGATGAGTAAGAGGAGGAAGGCGAGGAGAGCCGTGACATATTCCACGACCACGCGTAACAACGGCCAATCGCCGGAGTCACTTTGGTGCGGGCTCACAAGGGGTCCCCTGCCACTGGCCCGCGCGCTTGGATTTGGTCTCCCCACGACCTGCGAAGCCGCGCATCAAAGGTCAGCCTTGCCCGGTGTCGCTCTTGCGTGTAGCCGACTCTCCCCCACTTTCGACGCGTCGCCTTCCGCGACAGCGAGGCTGCGGGCAGGTTTTCGCCCGCGCCGCGCCTTGTACGGGCGGAGAGCGACCCGCTTTCTTGTGCGCTGACCTGCTCAGCCCCCCAGCCATCCGACGTCGTCAGTGTGCACATGTATATACACTAAAATACATGGAGATGTACATACACATGCACATACATGTTCAGAGTCATACAAATACACAAGCACGCAGAAGTGGATGCCGCCTGCTATGTACCTTGACTCTCCAGGGGAGCTCGGGCCTCTGGGATCTCCCCAGCGGCCCCAGAGGCTTCCCAGACGTCTCCCAGACGGGTCAAGAGAGCCCGCAGAGGCCCCCAAGACGATCAAAGAACGCCCCGAATCGCTAACAGAGGTGTTCAACACGCCCCAGATGGCCTTCTGTCGGCCGAACAGGCTTCCAAGACGCCACAAGATGTTTCCAAGAGCACTCCCCCGAGAGTCCCCAAAACCAGAAATCATGCCTTGATCCTGAATGTTCAAATTGATGTTCGAATGTATGTTTTCCCGGCTTCTCCACACTCTCGGACGGTTCAAGGGGCCCCCAAGGTCGCCCCAGTTTTGGCTCAGACGCCCTCCAGAAAGTGCAAATGCAGCCCCTGGGGGCTGGACGACGGCTTCTGAGGCGCCCCTGAGGCGTCCCAGACGGCCCCAAGACGGGCCACGAGAGCTCTCAGAGGCCCCCGACACGCCCCAAGAACGCACCCAATTGCTAACAGAGGCGCTCAGCATGCCACAGATGACCTTCCCACTGCCCAATAGGCCTCCAAGACGACCCAAGATGCCCGCAAGGGCACCCCCACGAGGGCCCCAGGAAACAAAAAGATGTTTGTTGAAAGATTTGTGCAATCCTGCCTTTCCGGCTTCTCCACGCTCTACGACACCCCCGCCGCTCCACGACGACTTAAAACGCCCCCAAGATCGCCGCAAGGCAGCTTCAGACGCCTACAAGAAGGTGCCCATAGAGCCCCCAGGGGGCCCAAGACGGCACACGTGGCGCCCCAGAGGCGTCCCAGACAGCCCCACGACGGCCCAAGGGAGCCCACAGAGGCCCCCAAGACCAGCTGAGAAGCTCCACGCGACCCGAGGCCTACGGCCAAATAGGCTTTCGAAACGACCCAAGATGCCTTCCGTAGCCATTTTAGCTCAAGGTTTGGATCACAGTCAAGGTGTCCCCCTTCTTGCCAAGAAGCGATCACCTTAGTCGTTTGCAAGTGCGTTGGCAGCAATGGTTTTGACCTTTGTGCGGATGATTTCAGCACTTGCCCTTGGTGCCTTGGTGATCTCCGAGGCTTCTGAACCTTGTGCTTCGCATTCGGCCTCTGCAGCTGAAGCCGATGTGGCTCATGCTTGCGATGGCCAGGATGGCGACGTGTCAGCGATGCTGCAGATCCACGGGAAGAGCCCCGCCTTGACCAAGGCCCAGATGATCGGCTTCAGCATCTACACCTTTCCAGATAATACTTTGCGGCATGACGCCGCGATGAAAGCGCTCAGCAAGGTGGCTCAGTATGCGGAGGAGCTGGAGAGCGTTGGAATCAATCTTAGTTTCACTGCCCCGCAGGGATTCTATGCGGGCTTGGCCGATCCTGACAGGGACGCAGCCCTTCGCTTCGAGTTGATGAAGGATGCCGTCGAGACTGCCCGTGCGAAAGCAAACTACGACCCGAGCCCGTCTACCTTGAAGGTCTTCATGGCTCCGGAGTTCTTCTTCCGTGGCTCACGGGGTGCCTATGATGCCAACACCCTCTACGGTTGCCCTGAGGCGACGTCCAAGTCCAAGCGCACGTGCAAGGCGACGATCCAAATATTGCTCGAAAAGATGAAAGGATTCGTGAGCGAGGAGCGCTGGTCTGATTGGCTCTTCGTCTTTGGCACCATCGTCGCTGCGGAGCCCAGGCCGGGAGCTTCCTCCACCCATGCCGCAATCACCAGCGAATCCCTTTTCTACAACGTCGCCCCGGTCTTCCGGGGAGGTCCAGGAGGCGAGCGGTTCGTGTTGCCGAAGACCTACATCAGTGGCATCGATTTCCTAAATTGTCTCCGAGGGCATGATGGCAGCCCCGACGGCTGCGTCAACAATCCCAGGCAGCTCGGGGACCCCGAGTACACGGCGATTCCTGCCGTCGCCCAGTCGTACCTCAGCGACATGGGTTTCCAGACGGCCACCGATAATATGTTCACGGTCCAGGGTGTGCTTTTCGGTTTGGAGATTTGCTTGGACCATTTCCAGGCCGTGTTGCACACGAACATGGAGAAGAAGGGTCTCCTCCCTGGCGGCGGTGTTCAGGTTCATCTCATTACTTCAGCCGGCATGAGCATCACATATGGCCTCACGCCGTTTGGGGCTCCAGAGTTCCTGCAGGACGGAGGTGAAGGGGCGCGCTCGCAGATCGGCACCGGTCAGCCCCTTTTGCAACCCGAGATCCCTGCCCTGTCCAAGGATTGGCCGCGCAACTTCACCGATATCTTCTCATTGGAGAGTGTCAAGCCATCATTGCGCGTGTTCTCCCCGGTGCCCATCCCGGCCTCGCCTCGTTTCTCCCCTTGGGTTGATCGCCTCTGTGCAGAGGTCGCTTCGCCTTGTGTCGTGACAAAGCTTCGCGAACACAAAGGCTTGCCGGTGCAAAAACTGTTTTCATCGTGACTTGTGCGAAGCTAGTTGCCTTCGTTCCATGTGATCTGTGAGCACGGGTAGAAAGCGAATCTTGATCAGTATGTAGTCATGGTAAAGTTCAACCGCCGTTATCTGTCAAGCTTGTTCGCAGATCATGTGACTGTTTGATTCCCAACCCTCCTTGGTTGGGCATTCGTTTTGAATAGAGCAGTGTGGTCTCCACTCCCTCCTTCCTTCCTTCCCGCCTCCCTCTTGCCTCCTCCTGTCTTGCCTGCGGGGGGGGCTGCGATCTGTAAAACTACTTTCGAGGCCTGCTGTGACGCCACGGGCGGATTCAAATTAGACCTCGCCATCCCTGGGGGGCTGCGATCTGTGAAACTGTCGCCACTTTCGAGGCCTGCTGGGGGGCCCAGCACAGTGACGCCACGGGCGGATTCAAATTAGACCTCGCCATCCCTGGGGGGCTGCGATCTGTGAAACTGTCGCCACTTTCGAGGCCTGCTGGGAGGCCCAGCACAGTGACGCCACGGGCGGATTCAAATTAGACCTCGCCATCCCTGGGGGGCTGCGATCTGTGAAACTGTCGCCACTTTCGAGGCCTGCTGGGGGGCCCAGCACAGTGACGCCACGGGCGGATTCAAATTAGACCTCGCCATCCCTGGGGGGCTGCGATCTGTGAAACTGTCGCCACTTTCGAGGCCTGCTGGGGGGCCCAGCACAGTGACGCCACGGCGGACCCAAATTAGACCTCGCCATCCCTGGGGGGCTGCGATCTGTGAAACTGTCGCCACTTTCGAGGCCTGCTGGGGGGCCCAGCACAGTGACGCCACGGGCGGATTCAAATTAGACCTCGCCATCCCTGGGGGGCTGCGATCTGTGAAACTGTCGCCACTTTCGAGGCCTGCTGGGGGGCCCAGCACAGTGACGCCACGGGCGGATCCAAATTAGACCTCGCCATCCCTGGGGGGCTGCGATCTGTGAAACTGTCGCCAGTTTCGAGGCCTGCTGGGGGGCCCAGCACAGTGACGCCACGGGCGGATCCAAATTAGACCTCGCCATCCCTGGGGGGCTGCGATCTGTGAAACTGTCGCCACTTTCGAGGCCTGCTGGGGGGCCCAGCACAGTGACGCCACGGCGGATTCAAATTAGACCTCGCCATCCCTGGGGGGCTGCGATCTGTGAAACTGTCGCCACTTTCGAGGCCTGCTGGGGGGCCCAGCACAGTGACGCCACGGGCGGATTCAAATTGGACCTCGCCATCCCTGGGGGGCTGCGATCTGTGAAACTGTCGCCACTTTCGAGGCCTGCTGGGGGGCCCAGCACAGTGACGCCACGGGCGGATTCAAATTAGACCTCGCCATCCCTGGGGGGCTGCGATCTGTGAAACTGTCGCCACTTTCGAGGCCTGCTGGGAGGCCCGACGGCTGCGTCAACAATCCCAGGCAGCTCGGGGACACCGAGTACACGGCGATTCCGTCGCCCAGTCGTACCTCAGCGACATGGGTTTCCAGACGGTCACCGATAATATGTTCACGGTCCAGGGTGTGCTTTTCGGTTTGGAGATTTGCTTGGACCATTTCCGGGCCGTGTTGCACACGAACATGGAGAAGAAGGGTCTCCTCCCTGGCGGCGGTGTTCAGGTTCATCTCATTACTTCAGCCGGCATGAGCATCACATATGGCCTCACGCCGTTTGGGGCTCCAGAGTTCCTGCAGGACGGAGGTGAAGGGGCGCGCTCGCAGATCGGCACCGGTCAGCCCCTTTTGCAACCCGAGATCCCTGCCCTGTCCAAGGATTGGTCGCGCAACTTCACCGATATCTTCTCATTGGAGAGTGTCAAGCCATCATTGCGCGTGTTCTCCCCGGTGCCCATCCCGGCCTCGCCTCGTTTCTCCCCTTGAGTTGATCGCCTCTGTGCAGAGGTCGCTTCGCCTTGTGTCGTGACAAAGCTTCGCGAACACAAAGGCTTGCCGGTGCAAAAACTGTTTTCATCGTGACTTGTGCGAAGCTAGTTGCCTTCGTTCCATGTGATCTGTGAGCACGGGTAGAAAGCGAATCTTGATCAGTATGTAGTCATGGTAAAGTTCAACCGCCGTTATCTGTCAAGTTTGTTCGCAGATCATGTGACTGTTTGATTCCCAACCCTCCTTGGTTGGGCATTCGTTTTGAATAGAGCAGTGTGGTCTCCACTCCCTCCTTCCTTCCTTCCCGCCTCCCTCTTGCCTCCTCCTGTCTTGCCTGCGGGGGGGGCTGCGATCTGTAAAACTGTCGCTACTTTCGAGGCCTGCTGGGGGGCCCAGCACAGTGACGCCACGGGCGGATTCAAATTAGACCTCGCCATCCCTGGGGGGCTGCGATCTGTGAAACTGTCGCCACTTTCGAGGCCTGCTGGGGGGCCCAGCACAGTGGGTACCCACCGCGGATTCAAATTAGACCTCGCCATCCCTGGGGGGCTGCGATCTGTGAAACTGTCGCCACTTTCGAGGCCTGCTGGGGGGCCCAGCACAGTGGGGCCACGGGCGGATTCAAATTAGACCTCGCCATCCCTGGGGGGCTGCGATCTGTGAAACTGTCGCCACTTTCGAGGCCTGCTGGGGGGCCCAGCACAGTGAGGGCCACGGGCGGATTCAAATTAGACCTCGCCATCCCTGGGGGGCTGCGATCTGTGAAACTGTCGCCACTTTCGAGGCCTGCTGGGGGGCCCAGCACAGTGGGTACCACGGCGGATTCAAATTAGACCTCGCCATCCCTGGGGGGCTGCGATATGTGAAACTGTCGCCACTTTCGAGGCCTGCTGGGGGGCCCAGCACAGTGACGCCACGGCGGATTCAAATTAGACCTCGCCATCCCTGGGGGGCTGCGATCTGTGAAACTGTCGCCACTTTCGAGGCCTGCTGGGGGGGCCCCACAGTGGGGGGCTGCGATCTGTGAAACTATCGCCACGTTCTAGGCCCTGGGAGGCTGCGATCCGCGAATCTGTCGCCACTTTCGAGGCCTGCTGGGGGGCCCAGCACAGTGACGCCACGGGCGGATTCAAATTAGACTTCGCCATCCTTGGGGGGCTGCGATCTGTGAAACTGTCGCCACTTTCGAGGCCTGCTGGGGGGCCCAGCACAGTGACGCCACGCGCGGATTCAAATTAGACCTCGCCATCCCTGGGGGGTTGCGATCTGCGAAACTGTCGCCACTTTCGAGGCCTGCTCGGGGGCCCAGCACCGTCACGCCACGGGCGGATTCAAATTAGACCTCGCCATCCCTGGGGGGGCTGCGATCTGTGAAACTGTCGCCACATTCGAAGCCTGCTGGGGGCCCAGCACACGCCACACGCAGATTCAAAATAGACCTCGCCGTCCCTGGAGTGGTGCGACTTGCGAAACTGTCGCCACTTTCGAGGGTTGCTGGTAGGCCCTGCGGGGTGACGCGAGTCCTTCGGGGTGAGGCACCGCGCGGACCTGGGCGGGACCTCGCCGTCCCTGGGGGGGTGCGATCTGCGAACCTGTCGCCACTTTCGAGGGTTGCTGGTGGGTCCTGCGGGGTGAGGCACCGCGCGTACCTGAGCGGGACCTCGTCGCCCCACGGGGGCTGCGATCTGCGAAACTGTCGCCACTTTCGAGGGCTGCTGGTGGGTCCTGCGGGGCGAGGCACCGCGCGGACCTCGCCGTCCCTGGGGGCTGCGATCTGCGAAACTGTCGCCTCTTTCGAGGGCTGCCGGAGGGTCCTGCAGAGCGAGGCACCGCGCGGGCCTGAGCGGGACCTCGCCGTCCCTGGGGGGGTGCGATCTGCGAAACGGTCGCCACTTTCGAGGGCTGCTGGTGGGTCCTGCGGAACGAGGCACCGCGCAGGCCTGAGCGGGACATCGCCGTCCCTGGGGGCTGCGATCTGCGAAACTGTCGCCACTTTCGAAAGCTGGTGGGTCCTGCAGAATGAAGCACCGCGCGGGCCTGAGCGGGACCTCGCCGTCCCTGAGCCTGCGATCAGCGAAACGGTCGCCACCTGCGAAGGCTGCTGATGGGTCCTGCGGAGTGAGGACGTCCTGCGGAGTGAGGCACCGCGCGGACCTGAGCGGGACATTGCCGTCCCTGGGGGCTGCGATCTGCGAAACGGTCGCCACTTTCGAGGGCTGCTGGTGGGTCCTGCGGAGCGAGGCACCGCGCGGACCTGAGCGGGACCTCGCCGTCCCTGGGGGGGGGGGGCTGCGATATGCGAACTGTCGCCATTTCCGATGGCTGCTGGTGGGTCCTGCGGAATGAGGCACCGCGCGGGCCTGAGCGGGACCTCGCCGTCCCTGGGAGGCTGCGATCAGCGAAACGGTCGCCACTTTCGAGGGCTGCTGGTGGGTACTGCGGAGTGAGGCGCCGCGCGGATCTGAGCGGGACCTCGCCGTCCCTGGGGGGCTGCGATCTGCGAAATTGTCGCCACTTTCGAGGGCTGCTGGCGGGTCCAGCGGAGCGAGGCACCAGGCAGATCCGAGTGGGACATCGCAATCCCTGGGGGGCTGCGAGCCTCACGAATGCCGCTTGCAGAAGTATATGCGCCCATGGCACGGCGTCACCTCCGTATAACGTATCCCAAGCTACTCATGCCCCGCATTGCGCAGGGGCTGGTTACGTCGCCAGGGTAATGTTTTTGGTTTTGCTTTGCCTGCGCACAGACACACACACATGTTTTTGCATTCGCTCACCGGGTGTGCTTGAGAATGCTCCAGATCTGGCCTACACCGCACGACTTGGCATTGAGCAAGGTTGTGCAACACTTGCTACACCGAACGTTCCTACGAAACTGTACAGCAGCAGCAACTCCCAGATCGGCGCAACAATAGCAGCAGCAGTAGTGGATGCTCTGCTGCGCTATGCTATGCTCTGCTCTGCTCTGCTATGCTATGCTCTGCTATGCTATGCTATGCCATGCTATGCTATGCTGCGCAATGCTATGCTGGGCTAGGCTAGGCTATGCTATGCTATGTTATGATATGCTATGTTGCGCCATGCTATGCTGCGCTATGCTATACTATGATATGCTATGATATGCGA